AAACCAACTCAAAGGAAAATCCAGAGTGCAGACATTTATCGGCTATTAAGAAAGCCGGAATGAACTGGATTAATAGATACAAAACTGGCTTCTTCCCTAATGTGGGAAGAGAGCCGATTAACCCCCCACTGGACGTAATGTGCATTTCTAAGGACAGGAATTGTTTGCCTCACTATCAGTTCTCTACAAACTGCCTTCTGTCTTTACAAAGTTGTAAAACAGTCTATGCAAAGACAACGAAAGGCAAAGAGCACTTAGACACCCAAGAAGTTTCAAAGCCTTTTCAATTTGTTCCTTACAAGGGCTACTGGCATTCAGCTGAGGGAAGCCCAGGTGTATCTCAATTCTTGCCACATGCAAGACAGCCCCACCGGGTCCCCGTGGCCTTTAAATGTCCCTGCGCATATTTTCACAAGTAAAAGCTGTTAATCATGAACTGAGATGCAACCCCAGGTCCATAGGAACAAAAGTATTTGTTGCATCTGTTAATGTACATGGAACAGGTTTTACTCAGTAAAAAGGTTTATATCTGTTCTTTTTTTATTTTTTAAAGATTTTATTTATTTATTTTTAGAGAGGGAAGGGAGAGAGAGAGAGAGAGAGAGAGAGAAACATCAATGTGCGGTTGCTGGGGGCCATGGCCTGCAACCCAGGCATGTGCCCCTGACTGGGAATTGAACCTGCGATCCCTGGTTCGCAGCCCATGCTCAATCCACTGAGCTACGCCAGCCAGGGCTTATAACTGTTCTTTTATGTCCTGTATTTCTTATACAGAATGACTTCTGGTCATCTCGCTGCTCTCAAATCCAGTCTTACTCATCAACAGCAGAAGCAAACAGCTCACTGACTCTTTAAATCTTATTGGGCAGCCTCTCCCAAGCGCATGGTGAATTGCACTTTAATGTTGCACAGTTCCATCGTCTCCTTATTTTTATTATAAGCAGCATTCTACAAGTTAGTTTCCTTTTATTTCTCCTTGATATAGTAGCCAGGACAATATTCTGATGGTTTTATTATGTGTCTAGGTAGGTGACAGTGGTCATGAATTTTGTTTCAGGGGTGTAAGGCAGCCTTATACAAAGTGTCTGTCACAAAGGTGAGTGTCGGCTGAGTCCGTCGGTAGGGTTGAGAGCCGCTGTGTTGGAGGAACACCGCCCTCAGGTTTCTCTCTTTCTCCGCTAACAGCCTCGCCATTCTCTCAGAGGGAACAAAGGCTTCTTCCCCACTGGGCACAGCCTAGAGCACCTGCCAATCAAGGCGCCCGTCCTCCACAGGGCAGCCCGTCCCTGGCCAATCAGCGTTCTCTTCTCAGATGCTGTGTCTTAAGCATGTGACCAAAATATCAAAAACACTCGAAGCTGATTGGTTCTAACAGCTTCAAGTGTTGCTGTTGGTTATACAGAGTCAGTTCCTATTGGTGATAAAGAGTCCCTACCCCAACACAAAACAAAACAAAGTGAACATAAAACCAACAGAAGGTTGCCCCAGTCTTACTGAACATCTACCTAAAATATTAGGATAGCACTTTAAAACAGCGTGTCCTTTTTTACCGCTGAGCCGTATTCCATTGTCCAAACAGCCTACAGTTCATTTACTCATTTTCCTGCTGATGGACACGTGGCTCTTCTGAATAAAGCTGCTCTGAGCGCTCTCGTTCGCCTCCTTTGTGGGCACGTCTCCCGTGCTCTTGAGTCCTTACCTCGGCGTGGAAGGACTGGATCAGAGGACAGAGGTGCATTTTAATTTTCTAAAACCGCCCAAGAGTTTCTCAAAGTGGCTGCACTATTTCACACTCCCACTACGGATGCACGGGAGCTCCTGGTGCCCCGTGTCCTGGTGTCGTCAGCCTTAAACACTGGTGGCTACTCTGCAGCCTTGACATTCAGCGCTCAGTGGGAAGAGCAGAATTTTCCTTCAGTGAGGGCAAGGGAGAGGAAACGGCGAGTTTTTCCCAGGCAGCCGTGGACACTGGGGACCAGCTTCCAACATCCACGACCCACCCTCACAAAACACAACCCTTGACTTCTCAGGAATTTCCTGTTCCCCTCCACATCCCATGAGACTCGGAGAAGACAGCCCTGCCCCACCCCAGCTCAGCCGGAGCACTCTTCTGAGAAACTTCCAAAGCTTTCGATGACCTGATGCCTTCTTCTGAACGCAAATGACCTCCAACACCAGAGAGTCTCCAGCCAGGGACTGACCCCACCCCGCCCCGCCCACCAACAAAGACCAGGGCAGGGATGAAAGGTATCTGATCCTTGAAGACATCTTCAGATCGCTGACTTGCCTTTTGACGGAGGGGACCAACATATTTGACAATCGTTTGAGCCGATCTGAGTATGAGTTCCTGTTATTTGTACCAGAAAGCACCCCAATCTGCGGGTGATTTACAGTGTGCGTTGCAGAGCTACAAGCCAGTTCTTACATTCTCTCAAATTTCCGCAAGACCGTTGGAAGTTCAAACCACGTTTGAGGGGGGCCAAACTCCTCCCACCGCCAAGGAGGCTTCCATCCCATCGGAAGTGATTTGCTAATGGTTGATAAGGGGCCGTGTTGAGAGACGCATTTGCTCCCCCAAGTCAATCAGTGAAACAGCCCAAACATGCTTCCGAAGATGCTCCAGTGACTCAAGATTTCCCCCCTGAGACGATTGCTTTCTCGGGCTGTTGGGTTCACTGTGTGCTGGGGCCTGTTAGCTGAGTTAACAAGGATCTTTTTAACGGAGGCTGAGCTCAGGACTGCCCCCAGGACTATGGCAAAGGCGTGCAAGGTCATAATCACACTGTTCGGTTGTCCTGTGTGATGCAGATGAGACCGGGACAGATGTGGACTGAATCGGTAATGCAACCTCCTCTCTCAGTTCACGGCGTCCTGAATTTTCTCTCTGGCGTGAAACTTCCCCGACCCACCTGTCCAGAATCCCGGTGTGACAGGGAAGGTGGGTACCATCAACTGTTTCAGACCGGAAACCCAGACACAGAGAATTCCTTGTCGCCCTTGGAGATGTTTTAAGGTTTAACATTTTAAACCATATCCCCATTTTCTAAACATTTTCCCAATCTTTCCGGTAAATGTAATCCACGTGGATGGATTTTTTTTTTCCTTAAAAAGAGAGACCCAACTTCGGTGAGACTGTTGCTCTGTGCGATCCGACCCCGCCCCCTGCCCCAGGCACTCCGCCGGCACGCGGCACTAGACTCTCTCCGGTGGAAGTGGAGAGGCTGCGCTTGATAGAAACGCGAACCGCTCCAGACACTCAGGACGCTCTGTGCTCTGCATGAATAACCACAGCAGCTTGCAAGTGGGCGGGACTTGGCAGAGCAGCCCCTCCGCCAATCCGCGGCGGCACCAACACGCTCCCCCGAGCGCCCGTGAAATCCGCCTTCAGTCGCTAATTTCACACTCCAGGGACGGAGCTGTGAACAGCTCAGAGCGCGTAATTCTCATTTTCCTAACAGTTTCCCTAACCTTCAGATACCCTCTTCAGGCATTTTCTCCACCTTTGAAAAAAATTAAAATGCTCAGTTCCTTTAAGGTCAGATCTCAGGTTGGTTTTCGCTTAATCATCTCTTTACTGCCTTGACTTGGCAAACAACAGAGATTTTATCTTGTCTCTGCCTCGGTTGCGTTTTTTTTAACAGCGAACGGAATCGTTCTCATATTCTGCACTCATTATTCCTGCTCCTGCCATTTTCTAAATAGTGTCCTTTGGATGCTTCTGTGATGAGCACGGAATGCTTTTGAAATACCCTGTTAAGACATGCTTTTCATGTCCCTTCTGATCGTAAAGCAAGTTCTCTTCCCTGGGCTCCTGCAGACTTGAGACATGTGTTGCAAGACATAGAGGGGGGGTCCTTTGGGACAGGAAGTGAGGGTCTTGAGCTGCCTGCAAGAACTTCAGGGGCCAGATGAATGGAACCCTAAAAGCAGTCGCATTTGGGATTAGGATTTGATTGTTTTGATGGTTCCCATTATCCAATTACTCAGCTGGGCATTTTCGTCCATGAATGGCACAGGCATAATCTCTATCCAGGTCATAAAATACTGTCATAATCTGACTCTGTTGTTTCAGAAGAATCATCACAGGTTGCTTTCTGATATAAACTGCCTTGCTGGGGTTTGGTTTGTTTGTTGGTGTTTTTTTTCATTTGTTTGTTTTTTTAAATAAGCCACAGTTCTGATCCTGCTCCTTGTCCAAACAGGAATGTTGAGAGATCAGGAAAGCAGGGGCACACGTCTGAAATCTTAGTTCCTGGAAAAACCCATCCTGTCTTCATTTGAAAATGGGATATATTGTTCCACACAGACTTTTCTGGGCATCGATTTTGGTTGTTAAAGTATTGCATCAAAATCATATGGACTTGATTACTGAGTCGGGGACACGCCAACAGGAGGATTGTGCCCGAGGCAAGCGCCCGCCTGCCTCATCCCGGGCCCTGCCCTGAGTTCACCTCAAGCCCAAGGAAATGGTGAGCTGGGGGAGTTCCTCATCACCGATGGTGGATTTGGGTCTTCCCTGGAGAAAAGGAAGACTTAAGAGTCTCAAGCTGGCTCCAGACGCTCAGCTTGCCTGTGCCTTCCTAAACACCAGGAAATTAATCCCAGAATAAGGTGCCGTGTGACCATGTCGTTGGCAGGACCATGCTCCTGCCCCCCGCCTGTCTCCCCCTCTCTTTCCTCCCCTCTCTCTGCATTCTCGTGACCTGAGTGAGACAAGGCAGCATCCCCCCTCCAGCATCATCCCAAACCAGAACTGAGTGCCAGGCGTTCCTCAGATGAAACCTCAAAATACTAGGATCCCAGCGTCATTACTGTGCACACACTGGATCCCCCGGGAGGCCTGGGGGAAAGAGGTGGGGGGATTCCCAGGCGAGAATTTCAGAGTCGGCTGCAATCCCCGACAGCCTATCCCAGCCTGGCTCTGAGACAGACGTGAACGTTGACTTTATACCTCTTGGTGTTCTTTTTTCTTCCTGTAACTTCTTTTTATTAGTTTGCACAAAAATATGGAATGCATCACCCATTTGCGTGTCTTCCTTGCACATTAGGAGCCCCACTAATCTTCTCTGTATTGTTCTGATTTTAGTGTGTGTGCCGGCAAAGCAAGCTCTCTTGGTGTTCTTAAGTGTCTATTATATCGGCACAAGTTATCCACCGAAACTCTTGGGTGTCTGCCCTCCAACACACTGACATATAGATATTTGTGAGTGTCTGGAAATATCTACTCAGATCAGTGATTTCCTCCCCTCCCCCCCCTGTGCATGTTTGGGACTGGGTATTATTATAGTGGCAGAATGTTCTTTTAGTCACCCAAAAGACATGACCCTTCATTTCCTAATAACTGGCACCCTGGCGGTCCCTCATGCTCAGTCGCAGCCCTCAGATGGATGAGGGCAGGGCCGGAACGAGCTCATCTGCATCTTGGCAGAACATCTCCTGACCCCCAGGCACGTCCCACCACTGCCCTCTCCCTGGGGAGCTGCCACCAGACAGTTTTCCATCACCAACCAGGTGAGCTGGGAGGTGCTCCATCTCACCCCTTCAGAATATTGCAGCGGACTACTAAACCACTTAGCTGCAGTCTAGAATTGGTTCCTTGGCAATAGGGGGTCCCGTCATTCCTTGCAGCCGTCCAGCCCCTTTTATTAGGTGTCACCCTAAATCTTAAAGGCACAGCCCTCTATTGGGCAGAATGCCCTTTGGAGACAAGAACAGAAAAATCCAACTCGAACCAAAACAAAGCAAATAAATTTTAAAAAGAAGAAAAAAAAAGGACATTTATTGACCCACATGACTTAAAGGCAGTCTAAGGTAGTGATTCTTAATGAAGGTATTTGCCCACCCCCACCCCAGGGACACTTGGCAATGTCTAGAGACACTTTTGGTTGTCAGGAGGCTGGGGCGGAGCATGCTGCTGGCATCTAGTGGGTAGAGATCAGGGATGGTGCTAAACTTCCTGCAATGTACAGGACAGAGCCCACAACAGCAATCTAACTCCAAACTGTTAACGATTCCGTGGTTGAGAAGACCTGTTCAAGGGCAACAGCTTCAGGCATGGCTGAATCCAGGAGCTCTAATCCTATGCACAAGGCTCCACTTCTCTCCCATTCTTGGCCATTTTCCTCCACATTGACCTCACACACACACAAGCAGAACCACTCTCCTCTGTGGCCCTGCTCACGTCCTCACAGAAACAAGTCCTGTGAAAGAACAGGTGTCCTTTCCAATAAATCAAAGCAAGTCTGGCACTGAGTTTCATCAGCCACCCAGGAATCTCTTTGACCTAAGGAAGTGGGGGTGCGGGCGAAGAGGGAGATTACCCTGACTGTCAAGGTCAAATCTAGAGCTGGAGGCTACCAGTCACATCTACCACAGGGACTGAAGAGGGGAGGGACTACTTGGCCAAAACAAAATCAAGGCGGCCTACCAGGAGGAGGTGGCATGGATGCTGGGCGCACAAAAGCAGCAGTCCCCTACAGCCCCGAGTTTACTAATGAAAGAGGTTGGGGAGACACTGGGTTCTAGTGAGAGACACACACCGTGGAGAAAGAAAAGAGCGAGATAGAGGGGGAACCCCAAATGTGAGTTCACTGCGCTTACCAGAAAGCGTGTGCAACTGAGGATGTGCAGCCACTGTCTTTATTTCTTTCATTTTTTTATTTGATTGGGAGAACAATTACAAATACGCATGACATGCAAACACCTCCCGTGCATTCGATAAACTTGTGCGAGAGAAAATATTTTTGCAAAGTACAGCATATTATACAAACAAAATGAAATGCATTAATAGGATCCCAGATAGCGGAGCTGTAAAACATGTATTTCCCTCAGGGTTCTATTTCCACAGAGAGATCAGTTTTATTTACCTGCGCTAAGATTAAAGTATGGTGCATTAATTCCTTAACAAAGAGCAGGAATGTGTATCCTAGGGGAGGGATGATCAGCCGTTCCCTCGGATTCAACCCTCTCAGCAGCTCCTAACTCTACCTAGGGGCCTGGCTGATACATTTTAACGTGCCTACAGTAGCCTCTGATACACAGAGGGTGAGTCCCAGCCAGCAGAAGGCTGGGGCTCTTCACCAAGTGGAATAGTGGGAAGGCTCTCTCCCTCTGCAATGCCAAGGGCTGGCCTCAAAGGGGAGGGAGGAGGGTGCATTCTTTGTGGTCTGGCAGCGATCAGAAAGGCATGCCGGGGTGTGACCGCGGCAGATTCACCCCAAAGGAGCGGGGGCTCCCGTGGTTCCCTCTCCCCACAGTAATGAGAGCTCCCAGCACATTCCTTCCACCCACAACCTGGGGAGCCGGGAGCTGTCGGGGCAGATCTGCGGGGCTCCTGCAGCCTCGCCAGGCCGTCCAGGGCCAGGCAGTTCTCGAAAACGTGCCTGCTCGTTGTCCCAGGGCCAGCCCCCCTCCACCCCACCCTCCCCCCCGGGGTGGAAACCCCACTGACTGACATTTGGAAAACAAGAAAGCTGACACAGGACGAAACAGGCACTCCCGTCATCCTCTCTATTTCTGATCTCAGTGCGGTCTTGGTCCGAGCGTCTCCACAGGGCCCGTCACGGGCACTCTGTGCAGGGCAATTCATCGTAAGGGACGCCCTGAGGCACTGAAGGACGCTCGTGTTTACCGAATCCTTGTGATGGTCGAAAGCAAACACGCGTGCCCTTCCAATCTCTGGGTTTGCCTCGAGCCTCCAAGGGGACCCCACCCCAGCCTTGTGGCTCCGCTGGCTGGGTGAGGCTCGTGACAGGCCCAGTCCGCTCTGAGCTCTGGTCCCCGCAGATGTCCCATTACTGGCTAGCCACGCCTCTCTCCAAAGGAAGGGCATGCTGCTTCCTAAGCGTGCCACCCTGCAGGGATAGGCCAAAATGTGAGAAAACGGAAATGAGGACCCACACGTGGGGCCATCATGCAATAGGCACTTACAGAGCACGCACAGCACGCACGGTGCCTACTGGGGGGGCCCAAGGAAGAATAAAGGCACGCTCCCACAGTGCAAGGGGCTCCCAGTGGGTCCGGGAGATAAACAGAATTATCACCCACTGCGGAAGAGCAATGGCAGAAAGCATCTTCATGCACAATGAGGTCCTATCCTGCAGATACTGACCCATTTGTGGGTTGTTCGACTAATCACACTGTGAAGGGTCTTTCTGTGTTTGGGATGGATGGGATGGGGCGGAAAAGAACAGAATAGAAAACACCAGGGAGTATCACAGGTAGGAAAAGTTAAGTCTTGTGTTAGTTAAGCATGTGCATTGTCCTGTGATGCAAAATGTTATTTCTAACTCTGAGTCACATTCAAAAAACTTTGAAAAACCCAGTGGCTATAATTTGGTGTCCTGAACGATATTGTAGGACAGGAAAAGGCCGTCGGGGAAATACAGTGAAATCTGAACAAAGCACAGAGTTTAGTAAATCGTAAAATGACGGGGTTGGCTGTATGGAAAACTGCACTTGCAGTGTGCACTAAAAACAGCCATGAAAACGTGTCATGAAGTGAAATTCAGTGTCAGAGTGTGGAATGATCTGTGGGCGTGAAGCGGCTGGCTACATCAGTTCAGGTATTTCAGGTACATCTCTGTGCTACTCAGTTCAGGTATTTCCCCAGCAGCCCCGGAGGCGCAGGAGCAGGACAGGGTCAGAGTGAAGAAACGGTGACTCAGCAAGACTCTCCCAGGTCACCCAGCTGAGCTTCCCGAGCACCAGCTCCTGAAGCCCCAGACTCTGACCAGAGAAGGTCCTGCCGCACCAGCAGCTGAGCTCAGAGTCTCACTGAGGCCTTTCCAGAAAAGAGTCCCCCCACTAGGATTCCGTGGGTGCAAACACGTTCCTCTCCTGAGAGCAACCGTCCCTCTGGTGACAGCCACACTGATGCCGTTGGCTGTCCACTCCTAAGGAAGCCACCTGGTCTGGGCTCAGGATATGACAAGGGAACAAAGTCTTCCAGGTTCTTGTCCCACCACAGCCTGTGCCCATCACCCCTCAGACTAAAGGAGCCAGAAGAAGAAACGGCAGAAACGCAGAAAGACCAGGGTTTCTCCCAGGAGGGAGGAGCCAAGTTTACTGGGTGGACGGGAGCCCCATCCTGGCTGGGATGGGTGACCTGTCCCCCCCATTTACGTTCAGTTTCCCACATGGAAGGGTGTGGGGGTTCTCCCGCACTGACCCCTCCCCCTCAGTGCCCATTGGAGGGTGTAGGGCCATGGTTTGCTGACCAACGTGTCCACATGGAGTAGGTTCTGGAAGGTGAGGTTTGTCTTGGATACAAACGGCATCAGGCTCCACGGCGACCACGTCACATGTGTCTAAGACGTGTCCCCATGTGGCAGTGTATTTGGGTGGTCAGGGACGCAGCTTCTGGGGCTCCCACCTGCCCCCATTTCCTCTGTCAAGTCAGCAGTTGGATGGGGCGACCTTGGCGATTTCTCCCAGCACCCTCAGCGGCCGGCGTGGAATTCCCCCAGCAGGCCTCGCTGCGCACATGCTCTCGGCCAGGCCCAGCTCCCGGCCCTGGGGGTGCGGCCGTGACCGCGACCCCAGTCCTTTCCCCACAGACCTTGCACTTGTGGCAGGAGACAGAGAGCGAGCAAGAAGTCCAAGCAACCCTCGAGACAACTTCAGAGAGTGAAACGTGCAGGGAGACATTTAAGCAGGCTGACGCGGTGGGGCGACGGGCGTGGGTGGGCCGGGGTGGGGCCTGGGGGGGTACTCAGAGGGGACATTAGACCCGGATCCTGAAGAAGGGCGAGGAACAGATGGGGGGAGGGGCCAGGGAGGGGGCTCTCTGCGGAGACAGCGGGAGGGTGGAACCTGTGTCACAGGCAAGTGCGCCCGTCCCGCAGTGGGACCCACAGAGAAGCGACATTGAACCTGCCCCAGACAAAAGTCCCTACAATTGCATCTGAGGCCATTAAGGGCCCCTTCAAAGAGTAGTTAAGAACACAGACTCTGGCGCCAGGCTCCCCGGGGTTCAAATCCCAGCTCCACCGCTCATTGGCTGAGTGAGCGTGGGTGAGTTACCGAACTCTCCGTGCCCGTTTCCTCATCTGCAGGATGCAGGGCTGTAGGGGGGTTAAATGACTTCCTGCACTTAACACCAGCCT